TCCACTCAACTGTTGATAGCTGTTTATCTAAAACAAAGGCTACCCTTTGTGTTGAGATAAGGTCAGCTTCTTTGCATTATTCCCTGAGCTTTGCGGGCACATCCCCTTGCCCATTTCCACCAGTGCTCTTCCACTGTAAGGGTGTTCAGTGAGTCACATTCCAGCCCTTGGGGTTTAGTCTGTCACAAGCTCTGTGACATGTAACACTCTTTGCAGACTGGAAGCACCTTGTGTTGATCATTCTGTAAATGCAGAACCATAGGCTAAGTCCTGAACCAAAGAAATTATTTAAACATAAGATAAAGGGTGGAGAAGAAGGGTACAGGCTGATGGGGGAGAGGGAATGCAAGGACATGAGTCAATAAGTAAAACTGTTTCCGGTTTCATTGTTCAGAAGTGGTTCGTGGTGGAATTTGTCTTGGATCTTCCAAGTATAAGAAAAGCAACAAGGTCTGTCAGTATATTATACATATTTGGACAGTTACTGCTTTTGCTCTCTCCTAGGATAAAGTAATGAGCCACTATTTCTTGAAACAAGCAGGTTTGGTTAAATGGTTGCTTAAAGAGTAGTTTCTGTATATGGTGTCGTCATGTGAAAAAAATATAAGGAGTTGTTTCTATGGAAATAGAGGTATTTCCTTTAAATAAGATAAAAATTAATTTTTCTTACTGGGAAAGCTTTGCAAATGCTCTGTGATAAAGGACGTAAATTTAGCAAAATACAGATTTGCTTATATCACTAAGCATATTTGTCGTTTATCCGAATTAAAACCAAATCCAAACCATAGCATCACACCAACTATTATGAAGAAAATTAACTCTATCCCAGCCAAAGCTAGTGCACGAGCACAACAAAAATGCTTAAATCTATTTACTATATTTAATGATCAAGAATTTCTTTAGTTAAGAGAGACTCTGTGTTAAAGTTCCTAGTGTATTAATGGCCACAGTATACCTCCTGGGCATGGGACAGGGCTGGGGGAAATGCATTAGTGGTTTCCATTTCCAAGGCATTTTGAAATGTCTTCTGTTGTTCTCTGGCCTTTTGTTTTCTAATACCAATCATTAATATCCAATATAATTTTACTTTGAAGCACTATGGGTTCTGAAAAATATAGAGATAAATAGCAGATAACAGTATTTTCTACTTGCATTACAGTCCCTTTTGCATTTCCATAAACTAAACTTACTAATTAAAAACTGAGTTTGTAGTTACTGATTTTACTTTTTGAGCTTCCTTTGATTAACAGTCACCAAGTACTTGCTTGGAGCAAAAATGTACAGGTGTTGAAAGAAATTTCCAATAATCTAGTAGTGTAGAAGTGGTTCTTGCTGTGCATCTGGCAATAAAATATGATTGTGCTGTAGTTAGTGATTTCTTCTGAAGAAAAATTATCCCTTTGACCATGCATATTTCTTGGAAATCTTGTTTTTGACTCCAGCAATTCAAGACTCAAATTTCAATGTTATAACTTTGTAAAAGAATCTTTCAGTCTGTCTTACCTTTGATTTATAATCAGTGCTCCTTTGTTTTTTTTTTTCCTTTTTGCTGTAGATTTATTACTTTTTACAGTTCAGTTATTCTGAATGCAATATATTGTAATAAAGGGAATCATACAATAGGAAAATTGCACTTTACTTTTTACCAGTTAGAGCCTTAGAGCAGGGCACGTGGTTTTATTGATCCCCTTCACTTTCAATATCTAATACCTGTTTTATGAGAGTGTATGCACTTCGGTTTTATGAGAGTGTATGCACTTCAGTTTTCTGTCTCTGGGTCCCAGTTCAAGAAGTTATTTCTGCGTTTGTGAAGCTTGTTGATATGAAAAAAACCCTGTAACTTTTTGTCTTATTAGGATCTGACCTTGGGTTTCCATTAGGTATTTTTGGTCCACAGAGTTTCCGATTTACTTTCCTCTGAGAGGTTTTGAGATACACAAACTTTAATCCTATAAACCCGAATGAGTATGCGGTAGGTAGGGAGAATACAGATTTATTTCAATGGCACAGTAATGTTTGCAACCATAATGTTATGGAAAATATGGCCATTTAAGGAGGGTGTTTGAGAAGACTCAGTGAAAAACAGACTTTATATTAACTGGCTTTCTGACACCATGAAGTCTGATTTTCAAGTAGAAAAAGGAAAAAAAAGTCATTACAGTTTCAAATTACAACTTCTAAACACATACATTTTCACTACCATTCCCCAAGTGTGGAAATTGGGGAGCAGAGTGTTACACATTTGAGATAGTGTCTTATGATAGTTTTAGATATTGCTTTGTATGTAATATATATGGCAGTAGTTATTCTTGCCATTATAATAGTTTAAAATACAAAGTGGAAAAAGGTATGGTAGAGATAAAACTGACTTCTGGGTGCTTGGACAAGCTTGATGTCACTATTTTGCAGTAATGCATTGTTTGCACTTCTATGTGAAGTATATTGGTGCATATACCTTGTGAGATTTGATTCTAATAAAAAAAACCTAGCATGACATTTTCTGCAAGACATTCCCAGTTAAATTTTTTTTCAATTCCTTTTGACAGTCATATGGCTTAGTTTTAGGTAGTCTGGAGGGGAGCAGGGGGTTGGACTTGATGATCTTTATCGGTCCCTTCCAACTTGAGATGTTCTGTGATTCTGTGATTTTCCTGTGGTTTTCCTCATCAAAAATCTTGGCTTTTTCACAAAAGGTTAACTGTAAAAGATAGTTATTCTCCAAAAGAATTAAATAAAGGGACCAGTATTTTTATCTAGATTATACTAATACTATATAATAAAATGTGATTTTTTTCAGTTGTTGATTATTAGATATCATAGTGAATTACTTAGTTATTACTCAGTTGAGTAACTCAATTTTTTTATTACTCAATCAAGTGAGCAATATCGCATGAATCTCCAGCTTCTACTTTAATGGGAAATAGTAATTACGCATTTCAGTGTAGTAAGTTACACTCAGTTTTTAATGTTGGTACTGCAGTACCACTTTAAATCTGTTGATTAAAAGTCTAAAACTTACTCCAAATATCTTCTGTAAAAGTATGCTATTTCTCATACCAGTGTAATTGCTTCAGAAACTGATTCAGAGTTCACCAAGTAGTTATTGCTATGATGTAGTAGGTAGTAACTCAGAAGGTTTTCCTGTTTTGTCAGGTAAAAGACTGTCATTGTAGACCCTATAAGTGTATCTAAAAAGAGAATATAATAAAAATAACTCTTGTTTTATCTTTATATTCATGTTGGTCTAATGCAGTAATTAAATGGAATTGCTGTGTTGGTGCATCAGGCTAAGTCTCTTGTTGTCTGTTTATTTAGTTAGTTATTCCTAATGTTTATACCAGGTTCTCATAGTTTGGGGGTTTTTTTACATGTTACAGAAGTTGTATCTCTTCTGAGATGTGATTTTAGATACACAATGTAGATAATTAACTGGTTTAGTATTTCTGAGGTCTATAAAATACAAGTATTTTTGTCCTAGATGTTTTATTAAAGGTAGGGCACACTTAAGTAGCCCTATTAAGTACTTAGGTTTCAGATAAACCTCTGTAGTAAAACTCTGTCACTCCTTGAATAGATTTCTTTACAGGTGATCTCCTACAGTATTTAAAGTATTATAATAAGACTGCTTCAGTGGAAACTGCTTTTACATTGGAAACTCTGAGGACACTTACATGAATGCATTCTCTTTGTTCTCAGGCTTTTAGAAATCACATGTCCTTGGTCTGTTTTTCTTTAGAATATTTTCTGTTAGAATAGTTTATTTTATAATTTGAATGGTAATGGTTTCTGTTATGTGATTTTCATTATTAATTCAGTTTGGAGAGGAGAAGTGCTCAAATCTACATTTAGAGCTTTTTGACTAATCTGAGAAATGGATGCAGTGTTTTCATGTACTACTCTTTGTCTTCTATTTGCATTTTAGTTTGGAAATTTCTCTAATTAAGAAAAATGAGGGACCCCGGTGGCCAGAGCTAATAGTTGGTGACACAAGAGGAGAATTCATTATGGACTCTTCCCAATGCTCTGAAATAACTGAAAGCTTGATGCATCTTACCTCTGAAGTAATGGTAAGGAGTTGAAAGTAAAACATTTAAAATTCTTGTAGATTTGCGTGTTGTCTTTTCTTGATACCCTAATTTGCACTTCATTGACATAGCTTATCATTTCATTTACTGTTCAGAATCCTAACTCTGCATTCATTTTTAACTGAAACTGTTAACAAACTAATGGCACAAGAGTTCTGAATATACTTCGAACACTGATATCATCTTCATGGAGGACTAAATTTAGCTTGCATGATAGCATCTGTGCACCAAAACAGAAGTCTGATTTAACATTGAACGTAAATTTTGTTCCCACCAGTTACGATGTGGCAGTTTGTTTTAAAGCAGTTGATTTAAGTAATTTTGAAGGATGTCTGTTTCTTGTTTATCAATAGGTTAGCAACACTTTTATACTGTCTTCCCAGGGATACCATATTTGACTTATAGACTGTGAGTGTAAATGACATTTTTAAAAGGAAAATTTAGGAAAGCATAAGCATGAGTCATGAACTTCCTGGCATTATTGTTTTACAAGGAGTCTACTTAAAATAAAATGTAATTTTTAACTGCTGTTTGCTTGATACTTCCCCTTTTGGTTTAATTAGAAAATGGCATCTCATCTAAAACTTGTAAAGTGTGACTCCCTGTGGGTCTTGATATATTAGTTTTGGATTATTACTTTTTTTAATAAAGCTGAAAAGCGTTATTAAAATAAATTCTGTTTAGTGCTTAAATTGATTTCCCTCCCCTCTTTCCCACTATTTGTGGGCAAGATATTGTAGTACATCTTTTGACCATAGATCTATTGGGAACTTCAAATTTCTTTTCTTTTGTAACTCATACTGAGCTTAAAGTGATGATTTTTTTTCTTTTTGTCACAACTTTTCAGCTTGTGTGCAATAATGATCATGTAAAAAAAAAAATCTTTCCTTAGGTAACTGTTCATTTAAATAAATTTTACGTACTTTGTTATACTGCAACATTAGTTACTAATGTATAATAAGGCATGGATTCTTTTTGGTCATCTCAATTGCTTATGGTAATGATATTTACCTGGAAGGTTTTTTTAAAAGTCACCCAAAGAAACAATAAACCCTAGGCCATCAAGAATGCTTGGTAGAGGAGAGATGAACCCCAAAGTCTAGCCTCTAAAAGAGACAGATACCCTGCTTTAAGTCTTGTGCATTAGCCTGCAGTATATGACACTTAACTTTCCTTGTTCCTGTCATTTAAGGACGTTTCTTTGTTACCTCTTCATGTTTGTTTTCTTTGAACTTAAATTGTCTTAGCAATTAAAAAAAAAAAAAATCTGATCTCCTTCACTTTGTGGACTGAACCAAAATAAAAGTTCTTAATAAATAGCTGAAATGGATGAAGAAATGAGCAGAGGAACTCAAGAAGTCCTCCCTGTCAGATGAATTGAGTCAGTGCCCTGTCTAATCTTTCCTTACATATTCTGTTTGGCCTCAGCTTTGAGCTTACATTAGTTGTCAAGATGGTGTCTTTTTTGTGCAAGGAACAACATGACTTCATGCTTAATTCATACTTCATTGCCTTCTGTTAGATAAAGGTCACTTTCTGTTATCATGAAATTAGTTCTTTAAATATATCACAAAGGTAACATAGCTTGGTTGTTTTGAAAGTGATCCCAGGAAGATGTCATTAGCATAAGTAAGCTGTTCCTGTTTGCAGTAGTGTTGATTCTTGCTCTCGAATTACTGGTAAAAGTGATGGGTTTTCCTTTCTTTGACTTGTGGGATGTGAAAAAATACATGTGCTTTTTCTTGTTTTGAGTGCATTGACAAATATGCATAACAATATTATTAATTTTAAATATTTTTTAGCAAAGCTAAAAGGAGGCATGTATTTAGAGCTACTTACAAAATGAATTAATCCATTTTTAATAGCATTTCTGATGGCAATCTGAAAGAAGGTTACACTGGTGTAAATTTACTAAACCAGCATAGGTTTTCAGAAATGTATGCTTTTGCTACTTACAGAAGGGAGTTTATGGTCCATGTTTTAGCAGCTTACGTACCTTTCCTTAAACTGAAATGGATTTTGTTGTACCTACCACTCATGCTGTCTTCCACAGTGGAAATGGTTCTATTCATTTTCAGTAAGTACATAATAGCTTGATCTTTAAGTATGTAAGGATATGCAAATGATTCTTCCTGTTCTGTTGAACTTTTTTTGTTATGAAAAGGGATTTTTTTTTTTATATGTGTGTAGATATATGTATGTTTTCAGTAGCTTGGATTTTTAGTGTAGTTCATTGTCTCTTTATTTCAGAATCCAAACCCTGAAAAGGAAAACCCACCTTGTAATGCTCAAGAATTAGAAGAATGTGATGCCTTTCTTGAAGACAGCGCAAGCCTGTGCAGATTTGATGGTGATACCTTGAAAGTCACTCATGTAGTAAGTGCTGCAAATTATTATGCAGAAATATTTTTAAATGTTTTTTAAGATATGGAAGTTGAATTCTATTATCAGAACAAAAATGTGTGCAAACTCTTGAAACCACATAAATTTCTTCCATAATATAAAATTGTAGTAGCAACAGAAATTATCAAAAAATATGTATTCTTCAATGTCATTTTAATGTAAAAACAAGGCTCCTTTTATTCTGATTCAAAAATATATATAATTTCACAAGTGAGCCATTTGAAAAAGCAAAGTTATGTCAGAATAATGATAAGAAAGGGGTCTTTTTCAGTGGCATAAAAATTTTCTAGATTCCTTAGCTTGCATTTTTCTCCATAACTTTTCAGGTAGCCTGGTGGAAAGTTGACCCTTTTTACTAAGGAGCTAGAGCAGAGATCACTTTATGATACTTGTTCGTCAATCACACTGGAAATAACAGATTGTAAGCAAAATGCTTTAGTAGGAGACTTGATCTGGGTTGTAAGCAACCTTGACCAACAGTAAGTTAGGACTTGATCTGGTCCATTGGCTAAAGCAGGAAACAAAATAGTCGTATGAAGGCATCACATATTAAGTTGTTGTCTTGGGTTTTTTGGGGTTTTTTTCAAGATGTCTCTACTAAGTTTGTAATAAGCATTGGTATTGTACCTTATCACTACCTTGTATCATGCAAAGTACATATAGCATAACCTGTTTTGTACAGAAAACATCATAGTTGCAGGATAAGATTTTGAATTAGTTCATAATTTCCCATTTCCTCAGAAAAGCTCTAGAGGAAGGCTTAAGTCTGTGTTTTACAGATCTTGGTTTGTTCTTAATTTAAAAAAAAAGATATCTTTTTTCCTTTGTCAGTACAGATACATATGTATATGTCTATAAGTGTGTGTATATATATGCATATATATGCCTGTACATGCATCTGTGCTGCCAAAGAAAAAAAAGATTAATTTTAAAGGCTAGCATGCTCCACCAAGAAAGTAGTCTGTTTTGTGGATACAGTGTGATAGGTAACATTTGTCAGAAGATAAAATCAGTAATTGGTAGGAGGACATTTTATAGAAACTCAGTTCAAATGGATTTTAGCTGTTCAGTGATGCATGGTAAGAGAACAAGAGACAGCAGGCATAAGTAGAAACAAGAGTGGAAGGAAAAACTTTTACACCATGATTGTAACATGGATCAGATTGCCTAGTAAGGTTGTGCAGCCTCTGTCCTTGAGGTTTTCAAGACCAGACTGGATAAAGTTCTGAATAACTTAGCCTAAACTACTGCTTCTTACCCTGAAGGATAAGAAGTTAGTGCCCCAGAAACATTTCACAGACAGGAGGAACATGATATCATGGGATCAAGAAAGGCAGATCTGACATATACTGCTTTCTAGCAGGCAGCAAGATGTGGGGCAAGCTTGAACTCCAGGGTATTTGTAAAGAGCTCTTAAAATTGGGTGGCATAAAAGTAATCCAAAGGCTAATGTGTTTAAAGCATTATGGTCAAAGGACAATTACTATGGGTAGGAAATTTTCATGTGTGTATAACCTGCTCTAGCTGACCCCACTTTGAGCAGGGAGCATTGCGCCAGAATATCTCCAGAAGTCCCTTCCAACCTCAACTATGAGATCTTGTGTTTTTTGTCCTTGTTGGAGGACAGAGGAGCATATTTCAGTAGATTTTTCACCATACAGGAGTATGTTTTCACTTTGATTTACATCTTCTTTCAAACTGGTTTGGTTTTTTGTTTGGTTTTTTTTGTTAGCAATTCAGGGACCTATTTCTTCAGAAGCATGGCTGATACAACTTTTCACCTTTGTACTAAGCCATCATCAGTAGTATACAGTTGTATATGTCTTTTTGCTCTTAAGTTAGAGAAAACTTTGTGAAACATGTCTAGAATCTTAGAAAATTTAAGACCATAAAATATTTTTATAGGAACATTTCCCATTGTCATGGTTTAACCCCAGTCAGCAACTAAACACCACACAGCTGCTTGCTCACCCTCCCCCCTGCCCAGTGGTATGGGGGTGAGAAGGGGGGGGGGGGTGTGTGTAAAACCTGTGGGTTGAGATAAAGGCAGTTTAATAGGACAGCAGAGGAAGAGAAAGTAATAATAACAATAATAATGATGAAAGAATATACAAACCAAGTGATGCGTGATGCAATTGCTCACCACCTACTGACCAGTGCCCAGCCAGCTCCCGAGCAGCGATCGCTGCGCCCTGGCCAACTCCCCCCAATTTATATACTGAGCATGACATCATATGGTATGGAATAGCCCTTTGGTCAGGTTGGGTCAGCTGTCCTGGCTGTGACCCCTCCCAGTTTCTTGTGCACCTGGCAGAGCATGGGAAGCTGAAAAGTCCTTGACTGCTATAAACACTACTTAGCAACAACTAAACCATCAGTGTGTTATCAACATTCTTCTCCTATTAAATCCAAAACACAGCACTATGTCAGCTGCTAGGAAGAAAATGAGTTAATTTATCCCAGCTGAAGCCAGGACACCCACCTGGAGTTATAATTTGAGGATATAAAACATTGATGATATAATGATATGTATTCTGTAAAGAGACTTGATTCTATTTTTCTTGACATTTTCTAGTACATTTCAATGGCAATGATGCAGCTGAAATAAATCGGATTGACAGACAGCAATCTCTGTCAAATATATTGCTATACTGGCCTGTTCTTGTGTGGCAAAACAACATTTGTCTCCTCTAGCTCAAATGCGGTTATTCGGTTTCTCCTATAGAGAACTAATTTGCTTTATTAATATCAGTTCTTTAAGTCTGATTAATGGTGGCCTAAACTCCAGTGTGTTGTATTTCCAAGCCATCAGAAAATAGCAATGCCTGATGGACAACCTTTTTTGCTGTGGAGGGGAGAGGCTTTGTCAGGTATGGGCTACCTAAAAACTTGGAACTGCTTGCAGTAGCATTTACAACATAAAGTTTTCCTTCTGTGTTATGTAGATTAATATGTATACTACCATATGCTTGAGTTCTGTATTATGCATCCTGTTAAAACCAGTTGCAGGCATGTGTGACAAAATACACACAAAAAAAACCTAGTAGTTGAAAAAATGCTGAAAGATGCTTGAAGTACAGAGTGGTGCTGTGTGCTTGCAGTGGGGAACCCAGGCATCCCAATGCTTAGCAAAATTGGGATGGCCTAAGGGAAGAGATGCTGCTTGCTTTTAGATACAAAAGAAGTGATTTGTGGAGCAAGGAGAAAATAGGAAATGGACTACGTAAACCTAGGTCTTTGAATAGCTAATTGCAGTAGGTAATTTCAGAGAGTAGTTGATTTGTGGCAGGAGACTTCTCTGGTTGATAGGTAGATTATGGAAATACAGCAGAAGAACTTCCGTTCATTTTCTACTAGCTGACATGTAAGATCACTTTCCTTGCTTGTATGCCTATATAGAAGCACGAGTCTGCCTTCTCAGTAGGTGCCAGAATGACCTCTGTTAACTAACACTGCATGTCATTCTGTGAAACACATCAGCTTACTTCTAAGCTATGGGATTGTGGGAGGCATGTCATGTATTTGTGCAAGTTCGCTGGAGTGGAGATGCTGTAGTGGTGATAAGACAAGAGAAGAGGCAAGGTCTTCCTCAAGAGCTTTTCTGGTTCTGGATGCTTTGCCTGAATAACTGCTTCATGTTTGAATGGTTCTTTATTGCAGTTGAGTTTCTCGTGTTCTGACAACACTCACAAAACTTTTTTTTGCTTTTGGGTTGTCTGTCCAACTGATCTATATCTCTGTTGCATATAAAATAGGCAACTAACCTGCCTTAAATAACATTTATTGGGTTTTTCAAAACACTGTAAATTACTTCTGGGGGAAAAAAGTAATCAAAGTTCAGACTTACTTTGCTGAGGTGCTGTACATTTAAAATACTTCTCTACATATTCCACAAACTTTCTGAAACCTGGGAAAAAAACTTAATTCCTTTAGTCTGTTCAAAACTGTGATGTAAAACTTAACAATAGCTAAGTAACATGGCACTTGTACTTATCATATATGTAATAACATTGTTAGGACACATGTAGATTTAGATTGCATATGGGGTGTTTTGGGTTTTTTTTCCTTAACTACAGATGTTTATTAAACCCAAAATCTTGATGTTCATAAAACTCACATTTCTGATATGGTACTTGTAAAAGAATATATTTTTAAAAATTTGATGTGTACTTTGCTAGATAAGGGATTTACAACATACTAAGTGCTTGACCCTTAAAAATATATGTAGCTACTGTTGAAAGACATCTACAAATTACTCAGTGCTGTAAGGCTTCCTTCTTGTGATACGTAAATAATTTGCTTTATTTACTGTTGTACCTTTGGCTGAAAATGGTGATTGCTGGTGACTTCAAAGCTACTTTTGTGCTAATGTTGGGATTTTACTGTGGTGTCGTAAACATCTGTGCAGGTTTTTCTGTTCTCTGTGAAACTACTTCCTCAGTTCAAAGAAGTTTCACAGGAGTTGATTCCTCAGATCCAACCGTCTCCCTTAGCTAAAGGACTGATGCATAATGAAGTGAGCTGTGGATGAGAAGAGTGCTCTGTTACCCATCTCAAAGATGCTTAACTTCTGTCAGTTGAGATACAACAATAAGAAAGGGGAGACACCTATACATGGTGCCTCAGCTTGTAGAGCTGTATTGGGTGTTCATACTCAGGTGTTGGCAGCTGGGGGGCTGCGGGGGTGGCCTCTGCAAGAAGAGGCTGGGGCTGCCCTGTGCCAGACACAGCTGGTTCCAAACAGCTCCAGTGGACCCGCTGTAGGACACAGCTGAACCCATCAGGGATGCTGGTGGCCCCTCAGGGAAAACATATTTAAGAAAAGGTAAAAAATGCTGTGCAGCCGCAGTGAGAGGGAGGAGTGAGAAAAATGTGAGAGAAACAGCACTGCAAACACCAAGGTCAGAGAAGGAAGGAGGGGGAGGAGGTGCTCCAGGTGCTGGAGCAGAGATTCCTGAGAAGACCATGGTGAGGCAGGTTGTCCCCCTGCAGTCCATGGAGGACCATGGTGGAGCAGATATCCATGCAGCATCCTGTGGAGGACCTCACACCACAGCAGGTGGATGTGCCCTCAAGGAAGCTGCAGCCAGTGGAGAGCCCACACAGGAGCAAGCTCCTGGCAGGAGGTGTAGCTCGTGGAGAGGAGTACACACAGGAGCAGGTTTCCTGGTAGGAACTGTGGCCTGTGGAGGACCCATGCTGGAGCAGTCCATTCCCGAAGGACTGTGTCTCATGAAAGGACCCACGCTGGAGCAGTTCTTGAAGAACTGTAGCCCATGGAAAGGACCCAGGTTGGAGCAGTTCATGAAGGACTCTATCCTGTGGAGCAGGGAGCAGGAGCAGGGGAACAGCATGAGGAAGAAGGAGCAGCAGAGAGGAAGCGTTATGGACTGACCCCAGCCCCCATTCCCCGTCTTCCCGCACCACTGGTAGCAGGGGAGGTAGAGCAGTCAGGAATGAAGGAGTGAAGCTGAGCTGGGGAAGGGTGTGGGGAAGGGTTATTTTTAATCTTTGCTTCTCATCATCCTACTTTATTTTTAATTGGCAATAAATTAAATTAATTTTCCCCAAGTAAAGTCTGTTTTGCCCTTGATGGTAGAATTGTTAAGTGATCTCTCTGTCTATCTCAACCCACAAGCTTTTTCATCTTAATCTTTCCCCCTGTCCTGTTGAGGAGGGGGAGTGAGAGAGTGGCTGGGTGGATGTCTGGCAGTCAGCCAAAGTCAAACCCATCACAGCAGCTCAGTCCATATCCAGTTTAAAAGGCAGCAGCTGTTTGGCCTGTAAGTACAGCCAAAGCTCAGGATTAGTCATAGACTACGCTACCTCATATTCAACAAAGCAGGTAGGGATTATGGGAGGAAAGAGCTTAAAAACGAGAACAGGTACAAGGAGTTTTGGGGAAAAGAAGCTTAGGGAAATGAAATTCCAGTCTGTAGGAAGCCAAGCTCTGTTTCCTTCTGGTGCTACAGGAACAACTTGCTTTCCTTACCTGGGAGATGGGGGAATGAAGTAGAAGTAGTAACGATGACTTCTGGGGAGGTTAGCTGTCCAGCAGCAAAACAGATGAAAAACAGCTGAGGAGGCTGGGCCTTCTAGCAGGTTCTTCTGGTCAAGTCATGCTGTAATTGACTGTCCATGACCCTGTGGAGTGTCATCACACCAATGGGTCTGATGCACAATCCCCATGATTCGCTTTTTCCCAGATCTGAGAAGCAGGTGCCACCGTGAGCATGCAATGATGAGTCTTGAGCTGAACGTACAAGAAGTCTCAGCTTGTTCCCTTTCTCAAGTTGTTTCTCATTCATTCTGCCTATTTTTCCTGTGCTCCTTAAAGGTCTGTTCCACTCACTTCTGTCAGTGTCATTTGCCTGACCTCTGCTGACTTTTTACATTTCTCAGATGTTAAGAAGTTTGAAGGACTAGGACTTCATACTTTCTGTTTTGCTCAGCACAATGCACCAATACAACACCTGCCTCCTGTTTTCGTCTTTGTTCTCCTTAAGGCACCTTATTAGTGGAGCTCTTGAAATTATCTTTATTAGTGTTTCTTTGCCTTCTAGGTGCTTAGAAAATTAGTAACTCTCATTTCACAATTGCATCTGGCCCTAATGGAGACTGAGGATTATTTCACCTTTTTTGTAATTTTAATACAACTGGAGAATTTGTATGCCTGTTGAATGGCATAGTAATAGAAGGCTGTTTTGAAGTTGAGCCATTAGACTTGAACTTAATCAGCTGAAATAATTATATTAGTTCTGTCATAGACTGTATAACCTCAAGTAAACAAATTTCTGGTTCTCAATAGCTGTCGTTTCTGTCCACTGGATCTTATGTTAAGATTAAAGTAAGGTCTTCAAGACAGAGACCCCATCCTGTGACATTTATACAATGATAGCATAAAACGCTTGCAGTTCATAGTTATTGCCACAATACGTGTAATAAAAAGTGCTGTGACAACTGTTTGAGAATGATTAGTCAACAAATGTCAGCATCTGAAATGCTCATTGAGGAGTAATATACCATGTATTAGGGTGTAATCCTGCATGTTGCTGTTGCAGACAGCTTCTGGATGTAAAAAATAGTTCAAATGTATTTGTTCATCTTGTAACATGAACGATGTAGATCAGCTCTGAGTATGAAGAGGAATTCCAGAGCATTCTTTGACAGACCGTAAGGGAATATAGCTTGTTCTTTCCTCTTTGAGCATTTGCTAGCCATAGTGCTACATTAAAAGTATTGCTATTAAGTTCCTTGAGAAGGTTTTACATAGAAAACTCAAAATATTTGTTGGTTTATTTTTTTATTCTTACTATTGTTTATTTAGGTAGCAGGATATGCCTGTCTTGTCTTTCTTACGTAACAGGTCATTCCTGGTGAATAGAAGTGGTTATTGAAAGTTTTTGGTGATCTAGACATATTTGATGAAGAATGTACTAATCTGAAATTTAGTAATCATTTGATTGTGAGTAAATAAAAAATTGTTGATGTTTCATAATTTTAGTATTATAACTAATCCTTGTTCCAGTGCTTACCAACTTTTACTGCAGAGGGACAGTATTTCCCTCCCCGTTGGCACTGCAGAAAATCAGGCATGATTGCTTAGAGACAGTCTTTTCCTAACACCAGAAGTTGTAGGTAGGGTTCCTGTACCCTGGAAAACCATTTCTACACAAAACACATTCCCATTTGCTTGTGTACTGGACATAATGTTTCCCTAAATACTGTCCCAAGAAACTTAATTGCATCTGCTTGAAATGTATTAGCTACCTGTAGTGTATTGAGCTGTTGATCAGTGAGATGCAGCATAATGTATTCAAACATTTTGTCAACTAACAAACATGAAGCTGTTGATATCTAACTTTGGTAGTGTGTGTGATAGAATCTGCTATTTATGCTTTCAATCAATATGTATTTCTTTGTTTTGTTTTCAGATTAATCTTGGAAGCAACCAGTATCTTTTCTCAGTTGTTGTGGATCCCAGAGAAATGCCATGCTTCTGCCTGAGGCATGATGTTGATGCTCTTCTCTGGCAGCCCCACTCTGACCAACCAGAGAACATGTGGGAACACATTGCAACTTTTAATGCTTTAGGTAGGAAATTAACTTCTGTGCCACCCTCCTCTATCTGAGACTTTGCTACCTGTATACTCTTAGTATGGCTTCTGTTAATATTTCACGTAATTGAATTTGAATTTAAAGGTACTATAATCCTGTTGATAGCAGCATGCTAGCTTAATTTTAGAAATAGTAGAGCATAAGAAATAAAATATTTATGATTTGGGAGGAAAATAAGCCTTTTCAGACCATATACAGGAGGCAAGCGCAGTACTGCACAGTAAAAAGGGGAGTTCCTTGGATAAGTGAACTCGAGTTAAAGACTTAAAAGCAAAATCAGCACCTTAACACTCGCACAGAAATCATGAGAGGAACAGCTGCAGTTCATTGATTACATGTCTAGGTGTATATATGCTTATGGTAAGATGTTTTAGTAAGTGACCTTTAGATTTTTCCTATCTTGTTGTCCCAGGTGATAAATCTGAAGAATCAGACGTGATTGTTCACTGTTCCTTCTGTTAAAAGAGCTAGGAGCATCAAATGATGCTGGTACATAGTAGGTTCAAAAGAAGCTGAAAGAAATACTTCACATATGTGCATTTAAGCTATGGAACCCTCTGCTGCAAAACTTTGTGACCGTGGAAAGTTTTCATGAATTTGGGGGGGGAAAAAAAAAATCATGACAGGAAAAAATCAATGAAGAGTATAATTGTGCCAGCTCTGGCTCAAGAAGCCCCTGACTGTTCTGAAATTACACACAGCCAGAAAAGTAGAAAAAGTGGTTGTGAAGAATTGTTAGTTGTTGCTGTATTCTTGCAATCAGGACTAAGAATTTGTTTTTACCCACTGTTGGAAGCAGAATCCTAAAGCTCAGAAGCAGAAAGTACTTTGAAAAAAAATGGAGGCAAGAGTAAGAACGGCCATATCAGATGAAATAGGATGGTTCACATAGCCCAGTATTGTACCTAGCAAGTAAGAAACAGATAAATCGGTTTTCATGAAAATTAATCTGGTCCAGAATTTACTGCTGGTGTGACAACTATGGTTTTCATGTTCTCTAAGTGTTCTCTAGACCCATTCCTTCAATAATGCCATGACAATTTATTCCCTCCTTCCCCCAGATACATTTGTTTGACCACACCACTCTCAGTCTGGGTCCAAAATGAAAGGGAAGATAGGAGCTGTTTGTAGAGCTCACATAGGTTACCATAACACATACTTGGTTTTGTTCTGAGCTTTTGCAATTTATTTAGTTTTGTAATATGAATGATTTTTTTAATGGCATGTTATTTTAAGATCCAATTAAGCTGTAAGTATCTTAACAAATCCTCCAACAAAAGAGATTAATTTCACAGTTTGTTCTTTGTTTACTGACTTCAAATTTCATTATGCTGGGAAAAAAGCGGATGATAAGGATTAAGATGTTTTTTCAAAATACTATTGTTTTCAAGTTTCTATGCTGATTTGTAGTACTGTTTTAACAATGTGTTTCTATTGTTTTGAAAATAACAGGAAGGAAATTATAATATCTTTGAGCTTTTTGTACCTAAGGTTATAAAAACCAACATTGTTCCTCTACTTCTTTCTCCATATTGTACTATCATTTTACAATATTATATTGAAATTTACACTTCCGTACTAATCTAGTTCACCTATTATCTGCCAGAGTTGATGTAAGTCATCAGCTTGTTTATCTACAACCAAATTGAGAACTACTTTGCAAGAGCTGGTAGTAAAAATTAGTATTTTCTGGATTAAAAGACTAGTTTTCCAAAACCTACAGTATTCATTATATTGACCAAAGCAATGGTAGTAGCCCTATTTCCTTCTTCCTCTGCTCAAAATTTTGGAATTTGTTTTTGACAAGCTATACAAAGATGATGATTGAAAAATTAGTATTTTTCAGTTCAAGTCTTGGACTGAAATCTAAGGAAGGAACCAAAGGGAAACCAGAGGGACCAAGTTTCTTCTTTTATATATCTGTCCTAAAAAAAGCAATTGGTCTTGAATAGTTTAATGATTTGCCGCTGGTTGAAGGAGTTGCATGATCTTGCCCATTCTTACTACAGTTTACTGAAGAAGCCTGTATCTTTCACTGACTACTCGTAAATCTTGCTATGTAAATCCCCTGCTCCTAACAGGGCTGTATATATAAACCAGAAAAGTAGAGGACAGTGACGTTTTTTACATTTGATTTTTAAAAAAATAAAAGAGCCTACAATTTTCTTTCTCGGGAATCCATTTAAATACAAGTCCCCTGGCTCAAGAGCTTCTTTCACCTGCAAGCCTGTACTTAAATCCTGCTTGTATTGTTAGTGTTTAAATATATGAATTAAATTAATGAACTTACACTTGGGAAGTTTTTCTGGCTGTCCTAATATTTCCCAGTACAGCAATCATGTCAATTGATAGTCTAGCTATATATTTACTAATTGTTTTGTGGTAAAAGCTGTCAAGCTGGATTTGAACAAGAGATCATGTTTTGAGGACGGTAGCAAGTATTTGTAAATTTAGAAGTCTTAGGGTTAACATTTTGTCGTGGTTTAGCCCCAGCCAACAACTAAGCACCATGCAGCCGCTCACTCTCTCCCCCTACCCCGATGGGATGGGGGAGAGTATCAGAGGAGTGGAAAAAACCACTCCTGGGTTGAGATAAGAACAGTTTAATAATTGAAATAAGGTAAAAAATAATAATAATAACAATATACAAAGCAAGTGATGCACAATGCAATTGCTCACCACCTGCCGACTGATACCCAGACAGTTCCCGAGCAGCTATCACTGCTCCCCAGCCAACCCCCCCCCAGTTTATATACTGAGCATGATGTCACATGGTATGGAATAGCCCTTTGGTCAGTTTGGATCAACTCTTCTGGCTGTGCCCCCTCCCAGTTTCTTGTGCACGTGGCAGAGCATGGGAAGCTGAAAAGTCCTTGACTAGCATGAGCAGTACTTAGCAACAACTAAAAACATCAGCGTGTTATCAACATTCTTCTCCTACTAAATCCAAACCACAGCACTATGCCAGCTACTATGAAGAAAATTAACTCTATCCCAGCTGAAACCAGGACACATTTAAAAAAAAAACCAAAACAACAAAAACGCCCTCAAGGTATGAAAATGCACTGTTAAAGTGTGGCGATACTGTTGTGGGTTAGCCTTGCGGGACACCTAAGCACCGCACAGCTGCTTGCTCTCTTCCCATTCCCCCTGCCTGCCCCGAGAGGGACAGGGGAGAGAACAGGAAGAGCAAAACCCAGAACCTCTCATGGGTTAAGCTGCTCCGTCAGTTGGGGTCAGCTGTCCTGGTTGTGTCCCCTCCCAACTTCTTGTCCATCCCCAACCTACTGGGGGTGGGCAGAGTTGGAAGAATGGAAAGCCTTGACAGTGTGCAAGCACTGCTCAGCAATAGCCAAAAAATCATGTGGTATCAACGCTGGTTTAATCACATATTCAAAACACAGCACCTTACAGTCTGCTGTGAAGAAAATTAACCCCATCCCAGCCAGCCCCAGTACGAGTACTTTGAATTCTATCCTACAATTATAAGGAAAAAGGAGAGCCAAAAAAAGTAAACTCTAGCATGCTTGCTCTTCTCAGAGGTGCTGTCTTTCAGTGATAACCATTGCCATGGATTGTTTAATGGAAATGAAGCAAACAACTTTTCAGAAACATGGTAGATCACTTTGCAAAGATTGTGTCTCAGGTCTCTTTACAAAAGTGTGAAAGGAAATCAGTTTGAAATAAGTTTGTTTACTAATCGAGTTCTGTAATGGAAGAGGAAAAGGAAGATCTTTCCTTCTAAGTGAATATTAGCAAAGTTTACAGTGTGTTGAAAAGTAACTAGTGGTTTTTTCAGTCAGTTCTAAATAAAAGACAAATTTTAAGTGTCTCTTCAAGATTAGGTAGACTCAGAAATCTTAAATTATAAATGTAACTATGAACTGGGGGATGAGGGGAGAGAAGAGGGTTATTCTGCTTAGACTACTAATCTTGGGCCAAGATGTGTATCCATGCCTTATGATCCTGCTGAGAAAATGGAAGACCTTGTGAGGCAGAGAGGGGCTAGATGTGGGGACAGTATCTAGCTATACATACGTGCACATCAAAAATGGCAGTTAGGAACATGTACAGAAGAACTGTATGTTGGTATTAAATTGGTTAATGCGTACCTCCAGAAACTATCGGCTCATTTAGTAACAACATATATCTCTTTCTTTTTTGTTACTAATTGCATATTATGTTTTAAGCTAAGGTTGATTTTGTCTTAGCCAGTTAGAGTGCTGTTGAAACCGATATATTACTTCTCTCTTCTACTTCTTTTTGGCTATGCAGGTTATGTCCAGGCATCAAAGCAAGACAAGAAGTTCATGGCTTGTGCTCCAGATTACTCCTACGCTGCTCTTTGCGAGTGCTTGCGGAGAGTTTTCATCTATCGTCAGCCAACTCCCCTGTCCACAGTTCTCTACAACAGGAAGGAAGGAAGACAAGTAGGACAGGTTGCTAAGCAGCTAGTAGCAACCCTGGAAGCCAACGATCCTATCTTAGGCTTTCAAGCTACAAGTGAGAGATTATTTGTTCTCACAACAAAAACCTTGTTTTTAATAAAGGTCAACTCTGGAAATTAATTATTCAGTATAGTCTGCTGTAGTTTGTGTTAACAATTTGTTGAAGAACTGGCTAGGTAAATGATCTAAGAAGTTCAGTACAATTTGCTGAAGTTTAAAAAGGAGATATTTTACAGGGGAATCAAAATTTTTCATTAGAATTTGTCTGTAAGATGGTGAGACAGTTTTTCAGCTTTGCTGTCACTGAAGTAAGCTTTTTCAGAGCTATGGGAAAATGTCTTCTGCGCTAACAGCTTTCTCAAAGTAATTGTCAGAGACTGCTATTGCATAGGTGAATAGATTTATGCATTGTTTTTTCAAAATGACTGTGTTTGCCATACTTAGGAGTTTTGAGAATTCACTTCTGTTTTTAAATGCTGCTGTTTACCTATGAAAGAAGTAGTCAGGTAAAGAAAATAAAGCCTTGAGTTACAAGCATATGATGTGCAAAGTAGAGAAGTGTGTAATATAAAGGAAAAAAAAATCCCAAATTCAAATACTACTGGCCAAAAGAAATTATTTAATACTTCAATATTCAGTAGTATTGAGTGAAATGTGAATGGAATGAATGGAGTATTATGTTTCTTATACAGTGGAATAATTTCATTGCATATGCAGATTTTAGATTATTGATTTGGGACTTACTCATGATTGCAGTGAAATCTGTTCACATTTTAAGAGACACTAGAATAGCTTTTAGTAGCTTATTCTTAAAGTAAGGGTGAATGTATAGCTGATGATTACATATTGAATGGTATTAGTCAAGGTCTAGTTGTACTCTTAGTTGTGTCATTTTCTTTTGACATCGTACTTCAGCTTGAATGACTAATTTACAGTTAGAAAATTGCTAACAGAAAAAGCACCTGTATTTGTACCCTGAGGTGGGAAACTCAGAAGTGCTGCTTCTGCCTCAGATAATCGCTGTAAATACTGCGGTTTTAGTTAACCATTCTGTCCATGATGCGCATGTCCAAATGTGGTATATGCAATGTAAGAGTACACAGGGCATGAGAATGCTTCTGTTTAACAAACTGGCATGGTTAATTTTATTGAAAAATTGTATCTGAACATCTTTGTTTCCTATTTTAAATTGACATTGTCAGTACAATGAAAACCAAAATACAAAGTTAAACCAAAAAGGGTCAACTGTGGCAGTTCCACCCTGGGTTGGTTTTTTCATAGTTTGCCTACAACTCCATAGCAAAGAATGCCTAATCAATACATTGTATGCTGACAGGGAAGCTGCTGTGATCTGTGGTACCAAAGTACTGAGACAGACACAAATTACTGAGACAGACACAAATACAAGTGGCCTAATAGTCTGCATCTCTTCCAGTATTATTTCAGACCTCTGTAAGAATCTATTGAGAGGGAAATAAGTGTTCCGTTTTTATGGATTAACAGTTTCTTAGTTGTGATTGTTTTGACTCTCCTGTAAATTCTCCAGACTTGTATCAATGAAATGATTAAATAATATGCCAAGAATTTAAGAGGGAGACAAGCAGTTTTGGCTTGCAAAAAACCCTCCAAATTCAGTAGCTTTTCAAGGAACCTGATTTTTCTCCTCCTTACAGCCATATTATATTGTATATCCAATACTGAAAAGTTTTTCCTTACTCTTACTTGGGTAAGTTAAAATAGACTTGATTTGCAAACCTTCCCTTCTCATTCTGTTTTTTTAAAACTGTCCTGAAAATGCTTTTTAAAAAGGCTCAGTGAATGTATTACTGTTTCATGACTGTTTTGCATCTACATTTTCGTGGTTGGGCAATAATGTCAAACAACGTGGTAGAATTCATGCAGAGGTCCTTCAGAAAAGATTTTATGCAATTGATTACTTTGCAGCGTGAAGTAAGTGCTTTGAGATTTATATGAATATTACTTAGTAACCTGAGATTTAATCACTAGGAACACAGATTTAAGAACACGTTGTGGTGTTTGGGGAATGGAGGAATGAAGAGGAAGTGAAGGATTCATAGGCAACACGCTTTTGTCACCTCAGGTTTATTGCAGGAAGCTTCAGTATAGATGAGAATTTCAGCTGCTTTTTGTCTAATTCTCCGTGCTGTGGGTTAGATGTCCAGAAACACACTTCTGCTGTCTCCTGCAACAGAGGAAACAAAGTCAAGTAAAATGGTCTTCAGAGGCTGTATTATAATATGTAATGACTAGAACTCACATTCTGCCCAAATCTGTGTCTGTTTCAAGGGAGTTCTGGTTTGCTCCTGGGAACAATTGAACATGGGTAAGAGGCTCATCCCTTTTTCCATGTTACTCATGTATTTGCAGTCATGGTGTTCTCAGAAAGGATATGTCAGATAGGAAGCACAATAAGAGCGAGACTATGAGAGTTAAGGACATTCTATTATTTAAAAGATTTGTTGCCTTGAGGAACCTTTCATGCTGTTGTACAGCAAGCTTCTATAATTAAATGGCTGCAAGCCACAGGGAGGCACTTACTATCAGCATTTCAATTTCTGTGTTCACTTAATTTTAAGGCCTATTTGTTTAGTGTGTTAATGTAGGCTTATGCAAAGGTAGAATGTGGATGTTTAAAAGAGGTGGTTTTCTGAGAACCATACTTCCATTTTTCTAGGATTTTAGTTCTTGAAATTTTACTTTTTAAGAGACAGTACTTCCTCAGAGGTCCCATCACAATCTGTTTACAGAATTTCTGAGAAAATATTTGGCTATTACAGTCTTGCATTATTTATTTCTAATATTCTTTTTCAGTGTTTTCCTTGGCTGCATATTTGGAATGTATCATGGTTTTTTTCTACAAGTTTAAATAAAGGGAAAAATTTTAAATTTATTAATAAAGGGGTTTAAAAATTATTTTAAAGCATTTCTGTTAATTTCAAATGTGCATCCTTCCTATGCTACTGAAACAAAATACAAGAACAGAAACAAGAATCATAGAATGCTTTGGGATGGGAGGGACTTTTAGAGGTCATCTAGCCCAATCCCACTGCAGTGAGCAGGGACAGCTTTAACTAGATCAGGTTGCTCAGAGCCCCGTCCAACCTGACCTTGAATGTTGCCAGGGATGGGGCCTCCACCACCTCTGGGCAACCTGTTCCAGTGCTTCACCACCCCCACTGTAAAAAACTTCTTTCTAATGTCTAGTCTAAATCTATTCTTCTTTAGTTTAAATCCATTATTCCTTGTCCTGTCACAACAGGCCTTGCTAAAAAGATTCTCCCCATCTTTCCTGTAGGCCCCCTTTAAGTACTGGAAGGTCGCAATAAGGTCTCCCTGCAGCCTTCTCTTCTCCAGGCTGAACAATCCCAGCTCTCTCAGCCTGGCCTCATATCCGAGGGCTGGAGCGCCTCTCCTCATTTTGGTGGCCCTCCTCTGGACCCGCTCCAACAGGTCC